CCGGCTGGCGATGAGCCGCAGAGCGCAGATCTCTTGCTTGTCCCACGCACTGCTGCCAGCAAACGCTCCTCCAGTTGGCTTCTTGTGCCCCTGACCTGGGTTATTTTTTTTAATGTTATTCCTCTGCTCTTCAGGGTGGGTGCTTTCATTATTTTTTTTTCTTTTTTTAATTTTAATTATTTTTTTTAAAATCATCATTTCTCAGCTGAGACTTGTGATGACTTTAAAATCCTAATTGCTCTGCAGGGAGGAGAGGTGCTTTAAGATTTTATTTGCATCAAGTCCGTAGGTATAAGCAGCATGGGGTGGTGGTCTCCTAGCTACGAATGTGGTGTGGTTGACTCCGCTGGAATATGCACATGAACTGTTTTTGTGTACTTTTTTTAATAATAATAAGTGAGGTCTGGGGAGGAAAGTGGGGAGTGTTTTAGTCCTCGCAGCCTCTTTGGTGTGACCTGAGTGACCTTTGTGGCTCAGCGGTGGGGTCTCTGTGCCTGTCCCTGTGGATTTGGCTGATCCATCCACCCTTTTGCTCTCCCCCTGCATCCCCGCACCGAGCGCCTTCCCTTCCTCAAGACACCTTTCCCCGCGTTGTATTGCAGTCTTCCTTGTTTGAAAGCATGGGGAAACTGAGACAGTTAGCAGAGACAACAGGATCTCACCCAGGTTTTGTGGCAACCCTTGCTCGTAGAGCATTTTCCTGGTGTGACCTTGGGACCAGGTCCCAGACCACAGGGTGGGGATGCTCTCACAGGTCCTTCTGCATCTGTCTCAGGTGGGAAGAGGAGAAGAAAGAAGATGGGGTAAAGTGGACACAGCTGGAGCACCGAGGACCCTACTTTGCCCCCCTCTACGAGCCGCTGCCTGATGATGTGCAGTTTTATTATGATGGTACGTCCATTTTATGATGGGACCCGAGGCATGTGGAGTTGTACTCTGCTCGGTCAAAGAGCTGGTATCTTCTCTTGTATGCGTGGGGGAAGTATTGCAAACCACAAATTATTAAAGGGCCTGAATATCCCACTGGATAAAGCTTGAACCGTGGGTTAAAGCTGGAGGGTTTTGCATGTGGTAGGAGCTATGGGGTTATTGGGGAGCTAATGAGGCCCTGATGGTTGCAGGGTGCTTCATGCATCCCCTCTATGCAGAGCACCCTGGGACAGGGTGAGAGTTCCTGTGTGGCTGCCTGCAGCTGGTTTTAGGGTGCTGTAATGGAAGCATGTGTGGATCTGGGACTTGCACCTCTGCTCAGTCTCTCCTGGCTACAGGACATGCAGTGGTGGACCTGGCCCCTAAGTTTCTTGAGGGAAAGCAATGCATCTTCTTGTTGCCTGAAGTCCTTGTGTGCATCTTATCAAGATGAACTGGAGAAAAAAGAAAAAAATTTTTTCATTAAGATGTTTTTTGGGTTTGACCTTTGAATCATAGAAACATAGAATGGTTTGGGTTGGAAGGGACTTAAAGATCATCTAGTTCCAACCCGTCTGCTATGAGCAGGGACACCTTCCACTAGACCAGGTTGCTCAAAGGCCCATCCAGCCTGGCCTTGAATGCTTCCAGGAATGGGGCATCTGCAACTTCTTCAGGCAATCTGTTCTAGTGCCTCACCACCTTCATTGTGAAGAATTTCTTCCTTATATCTAACCTAAGTTTACCCTCTTTGAGTTTAAAGCTGTTACCCCTTGTCTTATCGCTACATGCCCTTGTAAAAAGTCCATCTCCAGCTTTCTTGTAGGCCCCCTTCAGGTACTGGAAGGCTGCTATGAGGGCTTCCTGGAGCCGTCTCTTCTCCAGGCTGAACAACCCCAACTATCTTAGCCTGTCCTCATAGGAGAGGTGCTCCAGCCCTCTGATCCATCTTCACGGCCATCCTCTGGACTTGCTCCAACAGGTCCATGTCCTTATGCTGGAGGGCTCAGAGCTGAATGCAGTATTCCAGGTGGAGTCTTGCAAGAGTGGAGCAGAGGGGCAGAATCCCCTCCCTCGCCCTGCTGGCCACACGGCTTTGAGTGCAGCCTAGGACACGTTTGGCCTTCTGGGTTATAAGCGCACATTGCCGGCTCATGTCCAGCTTTTCATCCCCCAGTACCCCCAAGTCCTTCTCAGGACTGCTCTCAATCCAGTCTCTGCCCAGCCTGTATTTGTGCTTGGGATTGCCCTGACCCATGTGCAGGACCTTTTACTTGGCCTTATTGAACTTCATGAGGTTTGCATGAGCCCACCCCTCAAGCCTGTCCAGGTTTCTCTGGATGGCATCCTTTCCCTCCAGCGGGAGTGCATCGCACAGGTTGATGTCGTTGGCAGACTTGCTGAGGTTGCACTCTATCCCACTGCCCATCTTGCCAACAAAGATTTTAAGCAGCGCAGGTCCCAATACCAACCCCTGAGGAACATCATTGGTCTCCACCTGGACATTGAGCTGTTGACCACAGCTCTTTGAGTGTGATCAGCCAATTCTGTATCCACTGAGTGGTCCATCAAATCCATGTCTCTCTATCTTAAAGACAAGGATGCTGTGTGGGACAGCATCCAATACTTTGTACAAGTCCAGGTAGTTGTCAGTCGCTCTTCCCTTACTCACCAATGTTGTCATAGAAAGCCACCAAATTTGTCAGGTCAGCTCCTGCATGGTTTCCCAGAAAAATGTGATTTTTTTTTTTTTTTTTTGCTTTTGAGAGCTGCAGTTTGCCTGTCCCATGGCCACAGTGGCTGACACGTCACTTGCCCTCCAAGATATTGCCGGGTTTGTCTGGGCTGCTCAGGACTCCTGGTCATGGTTCCTGATGTTGTCCCCAGGGCCACTGTGCATTACCTTGGAGCAACTCAGTGCATCAGTAAAGGGGCTGAAAGATTGGCAGGACAGATCCAGGTCTCTGCTGTTGTCCTTGGCTTCCCAACATGCCTGCTGGGTTGCCGTATTGTTCTTGCTCTTGGCTCCATCCCTGAACTGTTGGCTCCATCCCTGAACTGTTTTCTGACAGATCAAGGGAAGGGAGGCAAGAAAGACCTTGGGATTTGACCAAAGGATGCTGGAGATGAGAGGAGACTGCACTCCCATGGGGTCTTGGTTCTCCTCAGCCCCCTCACTGGGACTTCCTATACCTTGTGGGGTTTTTACAGGAGGGAAAAAGGCCAATCTGGGGAAATGAGGTCTGGCAACGCTGTCACCAGAGGGCACTGCTGGGACATAGATGGCTGTTGGAGACTTTTTTTTTTAATTTTGGTCAATAAGGAGAAACCCTGGCAGCTGTATGTAGTCCTGCATAGAGTTTGGACTTTGTCTGTGGCCTCTGACCTGTTGGAGACCCATCTGTGTTGTGTCCATTTGGGCTGATGGCTTTGGCATGGAATCTTGGGCGACATAGCTTGTTTGCTAAAATGCATCACTGTTGCTGGATGAAAACGTGTTTGTGCCCAGGCAACAGCCCTGAATAGGGAGGGACCATAGCTGAGCTGGCATGTGTAGGTTGTCATGGGGCTGCTATGAGGCTGTGACCCACCATGTCCTCTAGCTCAGGTGGAGATCAGGAGCCTCAAAAACCAGAGTGTCTGGCACAGGTAAGATTGAACCATCCCCTGGGAGTTCACAGGATTCTCTCCCTGCAGCTTGCCTAGAAAAGCTATTTCAAAGTATTGGTTTCTTAGGAAGAGCAAAGATGTTCCTTGGATTCATTAGACTTCACTGCTCTAGCCAAAGAGCTCAGGAGAGGATGGTGGCTTTGCCATCTCCAAGAAACGATCCAAGATCTACTTTACAGCCATGAGAGGCTCTTGCATCTGTATCTTGCACAAATCTCAGCTTTGAGCTTCCCATGATTTTTCCATCTGTGTGGGAAGGTATTTGATGAAACCTCTCCAAGTGGGATCCTGGCTATTCAGCATGGTCCTGGAAGTGATCATGGTCAGAGAGCAAACCTTTCTGTGTTATCCTATGGAACTGTTCATTTGGGTCTTGTCATGATGTGGTGGCTGCTGAAAGCCCTGTGGCTCAGCGACTTTAACAGAAATCAGGATTTCCACTCTCTTGGAAAAGAAAATGAAGCGTGTGATTGCAGATGGGCTGCGGCAGCATCCCGCTGTGCCAAGTGCTCTATGTATTGATCCATGGATGGGGCTGTACTTGGTGTGGGGAAGTGCTGAAGTCTTGCCAGTGTCAGTTCTCACCCCTTGTCTCTGTTTTGGCACTGTGGTGAGCATGGGGACTCACTGAACAGCTGCCTGGGACTGTGGGGTTGGGCTGTCCCCATAGCCGACTCTGAAGGTCCTCTCCCTTCCTAGGCAAACCCCTAAAGCTGAGCCTGGCCACGGAGGAAATTGCCACCTTCTATGCCAAAATGCTTGATCATGAATACACAACCAAGGAGATCTTCCAGAACAACTTCTTCAATGACTGGAGGAAGGTACCTTCCCTGTGAGGGCTTCCTTGCTGTCTGTGCTCCCCTTTAAACCTGCCATCCCCAGGCAGACTCTAGGCTGCAGTGTGGGTTAGAGGGGATGCGGGGGGTTTGTGGCTTAGTTCTTTATTTATAATCATATAATTATGATAATTCTAAATTACATGATCTATTTCCTTGCTTCTTGTGGGTTTGGGTTGGGGCTTGCTCTCTGCAGCATCCTTGAGGGCTTCATGTTGGCACTTGTTGTCCCTCTGAGTTTTAGTGATGCTATTTAAGAGAGCAGGTGCTGGGTCTTGCAAACAGCTTCACAAACATTTTTGTGCATGTGTCCTTCTGAAGGATTAACCTCATGGTCCCACAACACCACAGCTCAGTCCCCAAATAAAAGCAAGACCCCTACTATGGCATGTTTACATGTCCCCAGATACCTTCTGTGCTGCTTCTGCAGTGCCTGCAGGCTGCTTGCAGTCACGCTTTGGGACCACTTGTTTCCACAGCAGAGGTTAGAAGTTGCTACACCCCGGAGCTGGTTGTATTTTGCTTCTCTGTGGGTGCAGGCTCAGGTGTACAGAGGCAACCTGGCCTCCTGCCATGGCAGCTTTGTCTGTCCTTGGGTGGATGTGGCTAGGATAGCTGGAGTGGCTGCTTCCTTCCGATTTTCCTGAAGAAATGGCATGTGGGTCTCTTATTTCCTTTTCTGTGAAGGAGAGGCATAGGCAGCAGCTCTGTATAGAGTTGGCTTTGCCTCCTGGCTTTACCCAGCCCCTCTCATATCTTGCTCAGGAGATGACCTCAAAGGAGCAGAATATAATCAAGGACCTGGACAAGTGTGACTTCAGGGAGATCCACAAGTACTTTGTGGACAAAAGTGAGGCACGGAAAGCACTCTCCAAAGAGGAGAAGCAGGTGAGGACTGTTTCCTATGACATCTGAGACTAGCTGATATGTTTTGGGACCAGCTTGGGGTATTTTGGCTCCTGCTTGTCTCCTTTCCTGGTGTTATGTCCAATGGGACCTCATTGGTCTTTGGACCAGCTCTGTCTCCATGACCATCACACCTCTCCTCATTAAGTTTATCTGCAGATGCTGCATCTTTAATGGCTTTTCAGGGTACAAGTCATCCTTGGACCATGGTTTGGGGTCCTGCCCTATCCAGAGGATGATGGACCTACGGGGCTGGTGGCACACAGACTTCTTCCATCAGCATATCATGCTGGGACAGAATCACTGTGAGGATTTGCAAAGTGGGTGGAGAGAGCGAGTGGACTTGGACTCATGTGCACCTCTTCCTCCAACCCTTTGAGTTCTGCCTTTCCAGCCTTGCTTTCTCTACGGAAAGGAGGGTAGCGATAGGCAGGTACGAGTCTTGGGATTTTGGTTTCATCTTGTGGGATGATGGTGGCGTGTTGCTCATTTCAGAAACTGAAGGAGGAGGCGGATAAGATCCAGGAGGAGTATGGGTACTGCATCCTTGATGGGCACCGGGAGAAGATAGGCAACTTCAAAACTGAGCCACCGGGGCTTTTCCGTGGCCGTGGTGACCACCCCAAAATGGGCATGCTGAAGAAGAGGATCATGCCAGAAGATGTTGTCATCAACTGCAGCAAGTGAGTTGCCAGGGGAAGAGCTGAGCTTGTGGGGCTGCTTTTAGGACTGGGGTAAACAGCACACCTCCTCTGCCTGGAGCTGCCGTGGGGTTTTGCTGTCTCCTACAATCACTGCTTTGCACACCCTGAGGCTTGAACTCATTGGAGCTGTTCTGACACTTCCTGGTCACCTCCAGATGTCTGCTCTGCAGTTAGGTCGGACTTTTAGTTTCTCTGTGGATGTACAGTGGCTGGGAAGCTGGTCATCAGCTCCCATCTCCCACTGGTGCCCATTGTTCACTTGACATGAACTGCAAACACTGCAGTGCTCCTATGGCCCCTTTAAAGAAGGGACAATTCTATACTCCTTCTCCTGTGCTCCTCTTCCAAACAATCCATTTCCCCTCATTTTATGGATCCTTCATGATGTCTGGAAGCATCAGGATATTGGAAGGAGAAAGAGCAGTAATTGGGTTAAGAGTGTTTGCCCTCTAAGTTACGTGAGTTGGATTGGTTTTAAACCACCCATATGAAGTCCTTGTGGGCTTGATTCAAAACACTCCCCACCAGCCCAGCAAGTTCTCCTGTTTATCCAAACGATAAAGACCTGATCACGTTGTGGTGCAATTTTGGGCGGGATGTATGTTTTCTGTAAGAAATGCTACTGTGTAGTGACTGTCCTTGGCTCACTGTGAAGAAGCAGATGAGTTGACCTTTCTTCTTCATGGGCTGAGGGATGTAACCCTGCTCTGCCTGCAGGGACTCCAAGATCCCTGAGCCACCAGAAGGGCACAAGTGGAAGGAGGTGCGCTTTGACAACACAGTTACCTGGCTGGCCTCCTGGACGGAAAACATCCAGAACACTTTGAAGTACATCATGCTGAACCCCAGCTCCAAGCTGAAGGTTGGCATGATGCTGCTGTTCAGGCAGAGCTGTTGCATGTTGGGTCACTGGCTTTTTGCCAAGTGGAAAGATCAGGGGAAAGCAGAGATGTGGCATGTCAACAGAAATGGACTTCTTCCCCTTCCCTGCAAAAAAGGGGATAAACTAAATTAATTGGCATGCCATTGGGTGGTAAGGGGAAAAGGGCAGAGATAATTGGTCATCGAGTCTACTCCAGGGGATGGATTGTTGCTGGCAGAGCCATCCCTGTGCCGTGCTGCTCACATGTGTCCAGGGAAGGCTTCTGAAAGCCAGGCCAGGGCTGAGAGGGTCCACAGGGACCAGAATCTAGGGAGTTGAATTAATTTAAGCCAGATAGGGAGGTGGGATCACCATCTGTAGTGCCATGGGAGTGCATGAACACTGTGGGGAGGGAAAGTGATTTAAAGTTATTTCCAGTTCTCAAAGCAGGTAAGAACATTGCGTGCAAGTTGGGCACAACTGAGCAAGTGCATTGTCATTCCACGTTGGTGCTGTCCAAGCAGCAGCGACCATGGCCATGCAGTGCTTGACCTCTAGGCTCCTCACTTGCTGTGTGCTGGCTGCTAGCTGGTGGAGGACATTTCCAGACTATGAGGAGCTCAGACTTGGCCGGGATCCCAGGTCCAGAACAGCCAGCAGAGGGCACAGAAACCTAAGATGAGATGTTTCTACTCTGATTTTTCCATTTCATGGATTTTTCTCAAGAAAATGATGGGGTTTGAGCAGTGTTTAGATGTTGGAGGTGTTCCCAGAACAGGTTTTGACTGGTAGCGGTGGAAGCAACATGGGGCACTGGGTGGAAATGTCTCAGCCTCTCTTTCCAGGGGGAGAAGGACTGGCAGAAGTATGAGGTAGCCCGGCGCTTAAAGGATATTGTCCACAAAATCCGTGCTCAGTACAGAGCCGATTGGAAGTCCAAGGAGATGAAGAAGCGGCAAAGAGCAGTGGCCCTCTACTTCATTGATAAGGTATCTGCAGCTTCACCTTGGCCTCCAGGGCTGCCATCCATGTGGAGTTTGGGATTTAACTTACCTGATCCACCCCACCCTGCCCTGTAGTGCTTTTTGGTGTCTGCTCTCTAGCCAGGGTTGCTCCACATGAGGAATCTGGCAGTAATCATGAAGGGTGGTGACTCCTACTACCTGCTGATGCCTATGTGAGGATGCAGTTGTGTGGCAGTGCAGGGGCTGTACTGTCCTTCCTGGACTTTACCTGCATGATGGCAAAGGCCCCACTGGAGAGCTGGATAACTTTCTTCTGGGGGGATATTATAAGATTTCTTGGAGCAGGGAAATAATCTGCTGGAAGCAATCACTGCTTGGTTTCCACCAGGGTCCCAGCAGCATTTAGTTGAGAATTTCTGAGTTCCTCAGAAAGCTTGCTCTTTTTTTTTTTTTTTTTTAGTTTTGCCTCCTGGTGTCCACATCCACTTTGACCTTGGAAAGGGGAATTGTGGTGGGCTGGGGTGGATGACTTCTTGTCTCCTTCCAGCTGGCCCTGAGAGCTGGCAATGAGAAGGAGGAAGGGGAGACTGCAGACACAGTTGGCTGCTGCTCCCTGCGTGTGGAGCACATCAAGCTGCACCCTGAGCTGGATGGGCAGGAGCATGTGGTGGAGTTCGACTTCCTTGGGAAAGACTCAATCCGTTACTACAACAAAGTGTCCGTGGAGAAGCTGGTGAGTGAGGCAGAAATGGAGGCAGCGGCTGGCGTGGCAATTTAGTGCAGGGTTAGCTGGGTGGCTTGGTTCACTCAGGGGTCATCAGTCCCCAATCTGCATTGGAAACCCATTGCAAAGATGCCTCCTGTGCTTTAACACCACCGTGGCAGCATGTGTGTGAGACGCAATGGTGCTGGGTGACAAGGACACACACATGCTAACCCTGGCCTGGAGAAGGGGAAGAAGCTTTGGGATAGTTCTTTTGAGGCTGTTCTAGCCTGTGAATCGTGAGAGAAGTCCTGCCTCCTGCTGGAGCATCCTCAGTTGACCAGTGGGGATTAGGACTTGAACTGTCCTCATTAATATTTTATTTTTTGCTTTGCCCATGGGATAGATGATTTTAATGGTGTTTGTGGGGAAACAAATCTCAGCGGTAGCAGAGATAGGGGGAAACAGCCTGTGGTACCAGTGGCCTTGAAGTCCCAGTGGCAGCCTTTGAAGTTGAGAAGGCTGGTGGTGTGGTAGGATGTGTACTACATGAGTCTGAATCGGAGCCTATCTGGATGAGGAGGCAAGTGGAGATGAGGGAGATGTCTGGGAGCAATTTGCTCCTTGTCCCTGATAAGGGCCATCTTTTCCTCCTCTTTAGGTATTCAAGAACCTGGAGCTGTTCATGAAGAACAAGGACCCAGCAGATGACCTCTTTGACAGGCTCAATGTGAGTTGTCACCTCTAAGCTTTTGAAACAGCGCTGGTGGCCCAGAGGGAGTAGAAGCTAACCCGTGACACCCCTGTGCAGCCTGCAGGCTCCCAGGCTGTGGTGCTGCATCAGTGTCATCCCTTACCCTTGCTCTAACTATCTCACCTCCAGAGACACCACTGTAATGGTTTGAACACCCTGTTGGGATGCTGTGATTCCCCACTCCCCCACCGCCTCACTCTTTTTCTGCACTGGTAGCATCTCTGCTTCTCTGAATGCAGGCTTGGCTGCCTGCCTGCACCCGTGAGGTAACCCATGGCTTTCTGCTCCTTCCCTCCTCTAACTCATATGCTTGGGCTTTTTTTTCGCCTGGGAAGGCCTGCCCACACACGCGTTGCTTGGGACATTGTTGGAGGTGTCAAACCTCAGCTGTTTGATGCTTTCATACCTTTCTGGGACTTGGCAGAAGTGTGAGAAGCTTCTGGAGCACAGGGATGCTGGACAGATGTGCTGCAACCTTCCCTCTCAAGCTACTCCCCTGCAAAAACCTCTTCTTCCTCAGTATAGGATATGGGGTGCTGCCACCCATGCTCCCCCTCTGCCTGCATCCCCTACAAAGCCACTCTGAAGAGGCTGCTCCTCTCTAGTTATATAGGATTTATCTGTGATGGGCTTTCTTGGTACAAGTAAAGCTTCCTCCAAACCCCAGTTGACTCTTAGCACCTTCTGTTTCCAGTCCAGCTGCAGCCCCATGTGCTCTGTAGAACAGAGATATCAGATGTGTTGTACACGAGACATGAGATGTGTCCTCTTGGGCATAGATGGGCAGAAACTGTTGACTTCTAGAGAAACTCTTTGTGGGTTTAGATGGAATTTGTGCCAGTTTTTGACAGATGAGACCCTAACCCAACAAGTAGATCTGCAAGCTACAGAAGACTTAATGCCTAATTTGATTGCCTACACAGAAGATGATTTTCTGAAAAGCAAGTGCTTTATTGTCCTGGCTTCTGCTTGTTCTTTTCCTTCCTCCCCCACCTCCACTTTGTCCTATCTTTCTTCCTCCAGACATCCATCTTGAACAGACACCTCCAGAGTCTGATGGATGGTTTGAGTGCCAAAGTGTTCAGGACCTACAATGCCTCCATCACCCTGCAGGAGCAGCTCAAGGCACTCACTAACTGTGAGTTACTTACAGTGTTCATGGTATCACCAGCTGTATTGTGCAGCCACTGGACTCAGCGATGTCAACCCATTGCCTTGGGGTCCCTAGAACTGCCTGCCCTTCCTTGGCAGGTGATGCACCACTTTGTGGGGTGGTATGTATCTTATGGGGGCATGCAGAAGGTTAGGAACCATGCCAAGAGAGAAATAGTTAACTGTCCAGTGATAGTCTGGCTAACTGATAGCCAAGATGGGAGTATTTTTTCTCCCTCCTTCCTTGCATTTCTGGTTGGTTGCATTATTTTTGCCTGCCTTAGATACATGAGTGATGCGGCAAAGTATCAGATTCAATGATGCTCAAGTGTTCTTCACCAGTTTCCACAACTAGCTTTGCTCTCCCCTGAGGAAGGATGGGAAAGGCAAACAACTTGCTGTTGTTCTGGTCTGTTCCTTGCCTTCCCCAACGCCCAGAAAAGAGACAGAGCGATGCTTCCATTTATTTGCAGCTGAAGACAATGTTGCAGGAAAACTCCTCTCCTATAACAGAGCTAACCGAGCCGTGGCCATCCTGTGCAACCATCAGAGGTCTACACCAAAAACCTTTGAGAAGTCGATGCAAAACCTCCAGACCAAGGTGAGACAGACCAAAATGAAAGCCCCATATCTGAACTTACCTCTGATCCTTTTTCTTTGGTGGGAGGGATAGGGAGAGGGTCTATGAATAACCTAATGCCTAAAGAGATCATGCTGATCGAGCATGGCAGGGAATGAACCAGGAACAGTGGCTTTTATTAGTCAGTGCAGTGATATCAGCAACCCAGGTGTGGAGGGGGAATGGGGTAAACTCAAATGCTGGATGAAGCATACTTGGCACAGAATTTGTTTGGTTGTTTTTTTATCACTTGGTATCTTCAAACCAAGGTGTGTGCCTCTTGTAATGGCACAGCTTCAACACAGTTGGCTTGGGACCACGGGAAATTGGTTTTCCTGTCTGGCTGTTTGCAGGAGGACCAGCTGAAATTTCATGGGTCTGCTACAGAAATAGCTCAAACTACCACTTTTTAATTGTTCTCAGCTTTTGTTCACACTTTACTCGTGAGTGAGGATCTCTTTCAAGTTGCTAAGAAACACTTAAGTTCCAGCAAATGCTGCAAGGGCAAGTTGTTGGCTCTGGAGTAGGGCTGGTGAGAAAGTGAGGAGCAATGTGTCAAAGGGAAGGGAAAGAAGGAGGTGGCTGAAACCTCTAGGGAGGACAGGAGCATGGATTTGCTTTGTATTTACCTTCACAGATCGATGCCAAGAAGCAACAGGTGGAGGAAGCCCAGCAAGAGCTGAAAAAAGCCAAAGCTGAATTCAAAGATACAAAAGATGCCAAAGCAGAAGCGTGAGTGACTCTTCCTTACAGTCCTCTTTTGCAGAGGGCCTATGTATGGGGATGGTGTGGTCCAAGACCCTATGCGCGGCTCGCCAGCGCTGACATGCTGTTGTTGGGTACCAGGTGCCTCCCATGGCAGCCTGGCAGATGTGTGGAGGTCTTGTGGGTGGTTCCTTGTAACAGCAGGATTGCAAATTGCAATTGCTTCAGGGAGGTTTCTTTGTGATAGGGCACACCTCACTGAGTACTGAGACTTCAACCCAAGCTGGCAGCTTGCAATTATCCTATAAATGCCATGGTGCAAAGGATGCCGAGCTGGGGATACACAGACTGACCTTGATGCATGGTTTTCTTGTGGGACATCTGAGTGGTGGATTGTGGCCTCTCTGATCTCTGCAGCAGTCGTTGCATGGGGTCTGTTCAAATTTGCTCCCAGAGCCCAGATGTGACTTGCTACCCAGAGACAGGAGGAGGCTAGAGGAGAGAAATGAGGCTTGTATTTTACATTGTATTCTGAGGTTGCTTGTTTTCTACTTATGCCCTGTGTTGGTGAGATGCGACGAGATTGTCAGAGATGGTCATTGCTCATGGAGCCTGGATTTGAGGGAGATGGGCTTTGCTGGATGCTTGCTTCTGTGTTTGCCCAACCTTGGTGGTAATAACATTTTTACAAAAATTGGGTCAAAGTATGAGAAATCTGTTAGTGCTGAAAGGCATCTTTGACTCTACCATTCTGGAGTATTTCTAGGCTCAGGCCATACAGGACTTAAGGTGAGTGTAGAGACTACTCAGAATCGAAGCTCATTGGCTTCCCATCATGCTCCCAGGCACCAGCAGACCAGGAAAACTGCTCTGTATTTTACCTCTGCTGTTTCTTCTCTCCTCTAAGATGTTATCTGTGTTGCTCTTCCTCTTGCCCTCAGCAACGTGGAGAAGAAAAAGAAGCTGTTGAAGCGGCTGGAAGAGCAGCTGGCCAAGTTGAATGTCCAGGCCACAGACAAGGAGGAGAACAAGCAGATTGCTCTGGGCACATCCAAGCTGAATTACCTGGACCCCAGGATTACCATAGCTTGGTAAGTCTTGTGCATGCTATGGGGCAGATATTCCTCTAGAGATGTGCAGATCATCTAGGACTGTCTGGGGAAGGGGATAAACACATGCCTGAGCCTTTGAGGGAAAGGAATAAACTTTTTCTGGCTAGGGAGACCTGTTTGGGCAGGTGGTTGCCCTGGAGCTGTTGGGGGCACGTGAGCAAAGTCCAGAGCTGATACTTCCCTTGCTGCAAATGACTGCTTGCAGGGTGTCCCTTCTGAGGTTAGGGCAAGGAGGGGTCATTTTGTGCCACTACCGATAAAGATGCACGAAGGTGATTCCTTAAGGAACTTGGGGCTAAGGAGTTTGTTATGGGTAAACGATTCTGCACCCCGAGCAGAAAGTACCTCCTGCGGTGGGAGCAGAGCGAGATGGGCAGCACGCCCCCACTTCTGTCTTGTGGTCTGTACAGGTGCAAGAAGTTCGGCGTGCCCATCGAGAAGATCTACAACAAGACGCAGAGGGAGAAGTTTGCCTGGGCGATCGACATGGCCGATGAGGACTTTGAATTCTGAGGCAGTGCCTTTCATGTTACGTCACGCTCATTCGGTGCTGTTGGAAAGATTTTTTTTTTTTCCAAGTGCTGCTGCCGCACTTTTTGCAGGGTTTGCTGGGGGGGTTTGTCTAGTGAAAGAGTTTGATATGGGAATTTTGTGCCTTTTTTGTATACAAAAGAAAACACACAGTTTCTAGTTGAAACAGGTATTGCTGACTTGTGACACTCGTCCTGACTGCAGTGACTTTGATGTGAACTTTTAATTCCTCTTCAGAGTTGCCAAGTGTTTTGGATCTTTTCTTTCCTCCGCCGGAGTCTGAGAAGAAGATTGAATGAGAGTCTTAATTGTGTTGATCAACAAGATTAGATCTAATCCTATCTCCTTGATGTAGTGGAGCTGTGCTGCCCTTTTCAGACTCTCTGAATTGGCTCGACGGGTAAATGCAAGGCAGTGACAGCACTGAAACAGGCAGCTGTGGTATAAGACCTGGGCTTGGGTCAGGGATGCAATGGGAGGAAGGGAAAAATCTCAGGATTTTACATGTCGGGGTATTTTGTGCCCTTTCACCTGCAGGAGAGGAGCAAACTGTGCAATTGCACAAACATAATCAAAATGGAAAAATGTTGTGGGAGGGAGCGAACGTCATGGCAGGAGGAGGAGGAGGGGGGAGGAGAAGATATGAAACCTGCTTTTTAATCCAACATCGGAGGGGTGGAATTCACCTCGGCCTGAGAAAAGGGTACTTTAATCACCCCTGTGTGGTTAAACCTTGGTCTGGGAGAGGAGATCTCATTTGGGGTCATGCTTTTTCTCCTACTTCCTTCAGTTGGCTCTGGCTCAGCTCACTCTATCTGTAGCAGAAACAACTCTCCAGCCACAGATTTAGTCATGGGAAAGGATGATGCTGGCTGTGGAGCCGAACCAGGCTCCAGTGGGATGTGAGCGTGCTGGGGAGTGGTACCAATCTTGCCGGAGCTGTGCCTGTGGTGCGATGACAGCTTCGTTATCAGGCTGCATCCTCCCCAGTCTGCTTCTGCTGGGCATGGAGCAGGCAGGGACCGAGAGCATAAATTGCTGGTGCTTGCTGCCTAATTGGCTGCTTTTCAGAGGAAAAAGAAAAAGTGACATCAGCACGTACCTGGCAATAGTTAGCCTATGTGCCAGTGAACCGCAGGTGTAAGCAAGCTGTTGCGCTGGCAGCAAAGCCTTCTGGCATCTCAGGGCTGATGTTCTGGTCTCGATAGTCCAAAGCTCTCGGTGCTTCCCACGTGTTCATTTAGAGCCACTTCTTGTGTTTAAAATATTGCTGTTTTGGTTGGAAGTGGGGTACTTGAAGTGCATTTCATTAAAACTGGAAGGGATTTTTCTGGGTGTCGGTGATGGGAGGCTTCTTGCAGCCTGTCCAAGGTGCAGTTCTGCTGTGAGCTATGTGCAGAGCTCTAAGCCAGGGCTCAGTCTCTATAACGGGGTCTGTGTATGCTCAATTGCCTGCAGGGGATTAGGCTTGATAGGAAATCCTTTGCCTTCAAGCAAAGAGCCTGCCTGCAGATCTCAAAAACCATTTGTGCTTAGTCCCTGAGGGCCCGTATGCAAAACTGAGCCACCAAAATGGAACTGCTGCCTGATAGCAGTTATGACAAATGTAAGGAAAATGCATAGGTGAAGCCAATGCTGTTTTATCTCATGTCTGCACTGGGATGTGCTCCACCACTTGGCCGAGACACGACAGCTTGTGAAACTCCAACTGGACTGTCTCTCCGAGCCCCAGGATATCGCACTGGTTTTAGTGAGGCAACTGACTCTTAAACCGGGGTCTAAACCAATTTGTATGGTGGTGAGATTTATTTTTCTGGCAAAGGTAGACCAGTTATCAGCTGCACAAGCAACGAGCAGGAGCTGCCAAGTGTGCCTTGACCCCTGTGTTGGATTTGTACCTCTGAAACGGAGGTAAGCAGTTTGGTTTGGTCAATGAACAGAGATGTCTTTCTTGCCCACCCTGCTAAATGATTTCTGGCTTTCAAAAGATGTTAAAGTGAATATTTGCCACTACCTGTGGTGGAAAGTTTTGTTCCATCCCAAGTAAGGGAGTAATTCTAGCCAAGCCCTTAGTGAAACAGTGCTCCCGTTTTCTAGAAGCAGAAAAAGGAGCAAGATGCAACTGGATGACCTCTGAACCAATAGAATTTTTTTGCTAAGTATTTCCTAGAGGAAAACGTGTCTCAAGCACCATGTGAGAGAAAGGAGCTGCATTAGTAAGAGCAGCTGCAGCGGTTGGAAAAGCTGCTGGGGGAGCAGTGGAAAAAACACCCCAGAAAGCAAATCCTACTGCAGCTTTAGGGGGAAATGAGTACCTTGGTCCTTGGCCTCTCCTCCAGCAGGTTCCCATCAGTGCTGTGATCCTCTGCTGGATTAAGGGGGTGGAAAGGCTGGGTAATTGCTGTCCCACATGGTCCTGTCCACCCTCACCATGTTTTTGCGGGGGTGGTGGGTCCACAAAACAGATGCTGGCAATATTTCATGCTTACAGGGCCGTGCTTGCCTCAACAGCTCCCCTATCTCTATCAAAGCATCCTCCTTTTCTCAATAAGGCCATGCCCCAGGAAAAACTGAGGTGGTTCAACTCCAGTGAGAGCTCAGCTAAGGAAGCCAGGGGCCGTGTTCTTGCCTCTTGTGCTGCAGCAGATGAGGAGGGCCGGGCTGGCAGATGGGATCTGTGCAACACTGGACTCGTTGGCCATGCTCTGATGCTCTGGATGTCAGGACTGCGAAGACCTGCCAGTGCTAATTAAATAGTAATTATTGGCTATTCTGCAGGAGCTTAAATGAAGAGCCCTTTCCTCAAAGGGTGTTACCGTGGGTCGTGTTGCCCTATAAACCAGTTCTATGGGGCTTGACTATTTCTGTCAAAAAGCTTAGTGAAAACAAGATTGGAAATGTGAGTGCATGGGAGGTATGAAGCAAAAGAAGGTGGGGAGTTCATGTGTTTTGCAAGGTATCACATAACCCATGGGGTGAATAACACAATGTGTTTGAAATAGCTAAGCTTTAAAGAGAGACAGGTAAGTATGGGGAGTGTTGCCCTGGCCCTTGGCCATAAGCAAGTGAGATACAGGTTGGAGAAGTTGAGCTATGCACCATTGATACCTCCATGGCACGAAGCAGCAGTCTGGCCTAATGCACAATCTGTCGGGGATTTTCCACTGCTCAGGACCCTGTGCAGCAGCATCATGCCCCCATCACAGGCCCCACCGACAGTAGGTTCCCTCTCCCAGCCCAACAGTTGGAGGTTATTTGGTGACTCCAATACTGGCACACTCAGCTGAACCCCACCTGCTTTGGCCTTTCCAAGGGTGTTTCCAACTCAGCTTCACCAATAAAGTGCTTTTTCTGTACTTTGCCTAAGGCAGTGGGTAGCCCAAAGTCAAGCTACTAGAATTTTTCCCACTATTTGACTAGTGAAATGCAAAGTCAAAAGTTTAGCATTTTTCCTTTGCAATTACTTCCTTTATTTTTATTTTAAAACAACAACAACAAAAAAAGGGATGATTTGTTTTCAGGCAAAACCAGAAGTGGTACCTTCCCCTGTAACTTCTCAGGTAACTAATGTGCTTTTCATAAACGCTTGTTGTTCATATTGGTTGGGAGGAGACCTCAAGGCAAATTTATCAGGAACAAAGCTGACTGCTCACACTGATACTGGGATGGGCTCGGGGCTGCTCTACTTACATAATGATGCTTAAAAAAAACCTTCTGGGGACTGGAGAGTTTGTCTCCTTGCCTGCGGGCTGGGGATGTCCTGCACTGTTGTGATGGCACAAGGACAGCTCTGATCCTGAGTCTGTTTGATAAGATAAACCTCTGGGTGGTAGGAGATAGTGAGAAGTTCCTCTTGTCTCACTTTGGCATCTGCTGCCCATGCCCAACCTTTTCCCAGAAACACTGAGGTTGGGAGAGTTTCCAGAGGGACTGAGTCCAACCTCCTGCTCAAAGGAGGGTCAGCTTTGGTGGGGTTGCTCAAAGGCCTTCTCCAGCCAAATTTTACTATCTCCTGGGAGGGAGATTCCTCTACCATATCTCAAGGTCCCTGTTTTGGCAGTTAATCACTGCCCCAGCAATTTTTTTTTTTCTTCCTTATATCTGGTTGGAATTTCCCTTGTTGCATCTTGTAACCAGCTGCTTGTCCTTCCTCTGTGCACCTCCAAGGAGAGTCTGGCTCTGGCCTCTCTATAGCCTCCTGCTATTAAATAGTTGAAGGCAACAACTTGGTCCCCCTTAGCCTGCTCCCCTCCAGCCTGCTCTGTTGCACGGGATCATTCAGCCCCACATCTGCGACTTCACTGAACTTCATGAGCTTCTCTGAACTTCACCTTCCACTGACCACCGGCTTGCTGAGCCTCGGAGGGATGTGGCAGGAGCTTGTGGCTGAAGAAGGTAGGACCATCTCAATCTATAACTTGGGAGTGCGTACGCGTAATGCCTCCCCCCGCATAGGAAGTTGTTTGAGCAGCTGCAGGCTTTGATGAGGCTCCGTCCCTGCCTGTTGCTTCTGCATCAGCATCCTAGAGAGATGGGAACATAAAGCTTGCATGTTGGCATCTTTTGCAGACACTAAAGCCCTTGTACCAAGCCACGCTTGTCAGAAACCTTCCCACGTCATGCTTTCGCCTGGGGATGAGTCAAGCTCTTGATGTGCGGCCAATACATTATTGATCTTCATTGATGAAAAAGTGCATCAGCCTCCTGTTTCCCAGAGCCACTTTCCACAGAGGTGGGGGTTGGCAGTGCTGTTCCCCTGCCCATCAGGGCCGCGTGGGGTGGAGAAGGGGTCCCAGTGGGTGACCTGAGGAAGGGCAGTCATCAAAACTGCTTAGCTGCTTTTTCATCTGCTTAATGGCAGGGCCTTTGCTCACCCGTAGGTGCTTTGGAGAGACGGGCTTTTGGCTGATTCATCCTAATTGGTGCAGAGAGGGAAGTGGCTGTGATGAAATCTCCACAGTGAGGAGCACTTGCTGTTGAACTGCTGCTCATGCTCTGCATCTGCTCCCTGATGAGTGATCAGATTAAGGGGAAAACAAAACAGCTGTAGTCTGGCAGACTTGAGAGGTGGGAAACCCCTGTGGGGATGTGAGG